AGACTTCCAACTGTGTCATGGCGTCAGCATAAACAAACATGGCGGCGCCCTTGGAACAAAGCAGACACTGGCTTATGCTGACAATTCGTCATTGTTTTAAAAGAGTCGCGGGGCTCGAAAGCAGGCTTGTGCCTATACTCTACTCAAGATACTGTATTTCAAATACTTTTGCTAGTATTTTAGCATCTTGCAAATACATTTCGTGAGTATTTCCTACTCTATAATAATTACATTTTTCGCTATCTTGTACTCAGTGCCTGAAAAACAATTTGCAGATTTGAAAAAAAAAAATTCGCCGGAACAATTTACGGAACTAGGGATGTACAGACTTCAGGAAAAAATAGAACCGATTGCAAACTCGGAGCCACGCGACCGAACACAAAAGTGGAAAGAATGCACGAGCAAAACGCAGCCTCCAAATGCGAACAAAAGACCAAAATGGATGACCCCAAGTACGCTTACCTCTTTATGTCCTCTTGCCCACCTGTTTTCTTTTTTTTTAAGTTGTCATTGAATGACACGTCACGCTTGGAGGTAGCCAAGTGCTGCTGACGTCATCCGGATTTTACTCTCAGACACCACCTTTTGTCTGGAGCTAGAGTCGTTCCGTCAGCGGAGGATCGTGAAGCCAACGCTCGGTACGATCAGAATGAAACATTTTTCTAGATTGCAGACTCAGAAAATTCCGGTATGAAAATGCGTGAACGCGTTTTTATGCGAGCGTTAGGCACTCCCGCGGTCAAAGAAGCTTGATCCTGGTGACTTTATTGAGCTGCAGTGACCTAGATTGGGCTTTCCCACAGCTCCTTGTTGTGCGTATTGTGGCTTAACTCTTTTCTTTGATCTCCTTCCAAATGCGCGCATTGTTTCGTCCTCAAAATTCTCAAAACCAGTTTTCCTCCAGGTGGAGTCATTATTAAACTAGTGCATTTTGATTCTGGAATCTTGATAATCTTCATCTCAGTACGTCAAGAATGTTTTAAACTGGTGCAGAGGGGGGCAGGGGAAGGGCGTTTAAAAGTGGTTT